TTTTTCTTCTTCACTTTCAACATGGGAGTGTAAGGCCATGTTGTACGACGAACGAAGAGAATGAATAGATTACTTTGAAGATAAGGCATTAAAATTTGATATAGAGGAACAATTGATAGGTAATTTATTCTGTAGTTACATTAACCCACTTACTGAAGTGGAAAAGGAAACAACACGTTATTTGTTGAAATTATAATTACAGCTTTTGCTCAAAATGTTTTTATAACATCAAAACTGATTGTATCACCGATAGTTTTTGAAAAAAATGCGCTAGAGTTATAATTAAAAGTTTGAAATCTAATCGCCGCAACTAAATACAAAAAAAAAGAGCACAGAAATATTTCTATGCCATAAATTCGAGCTGACAATTGCGAAGGCAATTAGTCAATTATTTGATCTCAGTTCTTGAAACCGAAATAAGTTGAAAATGAACGGAGAGTTGCAGCGAAAATTTATGCAAGTCATAAAATATAGAGACGAGAGGGAGGTTTCCTTCTCTATTCCCAGCAAATCTCATTGAAATAATTGCAGTGAAAATATGAGTGTAAGCGCAATTACAAAAGTCTCAAAAAATATATCGTTGAAAATATCCATTCAGAATATAAGCATATTTACAATAGAAAACAAATGCATAGTCTTAATTCGTGAATAACATCGGACAGTGAATGAAATGTTACTAATGAAATCTAATCTGTCTAAAAATAATTTTTTACAATTTTTACTTAGAGGCTCATTTGGCATTTTAACTTTCTTGAGTATCCTTTCTCAGCTAACCAGTTTGTTACCGCGCTCAAAAATGAATTACGGACGGCGTAATTGACATCGACGAACGCTTCTTCGCTACTGCAGAGCCTGGCACTATATCAGTCTATTGAGGCTTGAGCAACACAGCTCACAGGAAATCAATCTTTGCTTGTGCATTAAAAAGACCTGAATTCAGTACGAAAAGTGACGTTGTTTTGAGTGTTTCAGCTCGTTGAATTCAGCACAAATTGCTCATGTCGACGCTGCTGCGAGGGCTCCTATGCGTTGAATTCGGCATCAACAATTCAGATCGATTCTGTTTTGAGGGATTCTGCGCGTTGATATCGGCACTAACAGCTCGGATCCACGCTCCTAACATTCAGTTCACCAGTGCTTTACAGTCAGTTCAGTGACAGAATTTAAAAAATATAACTCAGTACTCACTGCAGTGAGTGACAGAGAGCGAATTTTCTCGTCGACGAAAACTTGAGGTCACGGACGGACGGACAGACAGATGGACAGACGGACATGGCGAGCACAATAGTCCATTTTTTCCATAAATGAGAAAATGCGCTAAAAATGGGCAACACAGGCGAACCCGAGTTCAATCCGTGTTCATATGCTGTCAGTAGAGTGAAGTACGTGATTTTTCTTCTAGGTTGGTTTCATCATTGGCTCATTATTAAAATGTAAGTTTTATTATGTATTGTAGAAACTTGACTCCCCCCAGGTGCGACCATTCACACGAAATAAGTTTGGCGAAGAATTCAATGAGGATTCAATTTTTCAAATTATCTGTTTGAAGACTTTACATACACTTAACTTTCGCTTTTTACTGGCCAACTGAAAAAATGTAGCTACTTAGGAATGATAAACTTAAAAACTTTGCGAATGAAACATTTTCAAAACATGCGAAGATATTTCAAATTCTCTCACATCTTTATTCTCGCGTTTAAAGCATTGCTACAAACTTCAGTCAAGTCTTCAGTCAGTCTTCAGTGCAGCTTCCTGTGAAGGCAGTAGGTATTGATTTCTGCCTTCAGTCATGAAATCCTCTGTCCTAACCAACTTACTAGAGTTATTTCAATTGTTTTCGAAATTGAGGGCAAATAAGATTCCGCAGACTCAAAATATCACGGGACATTTTCAAAGTAGCCATTCCAGCAAAATAGAATACACTCATTACCTGAGACCAACAAGAATAAGGCATTCTTACTATTAAAATAAGTCGGAATTTAGAAGCATTTGGCCTCAGGTAGAAGTAGTAAAATTCTGCCTCTCAGTAGAGGAGTTCTTACCCATTAAAACGGAACACCAAACTAACCCGACTACGATTTCTTATTCGAAATGAAATTTTGGATTCAATTTTGAATGATAATAATCTGAAGTATACGAACTAGTGTTGAATGCGAAGGAAGCGATTTGGAAATCTCTGTTTAAAAATTAAATAAATTATGATTTTACAGGTAGGGCCAGCGTGTTAACTTGAAAACACTGAAAGTTGAAAAATCTAAAAAATAATCCTGCTCGGCTTCTGCGTAAAATGAATGGAACGGCTTACTTTCTTAGCAGTGGTTGATGCCTTTTTACCGACCAACAAAAACTTTAGAGTGCGCTGCATTCAAATGCAATGGTACTTGATCAAAGAAAGTCAGAGTTCACGCCAGTAAAAGCGAAACGATTAAGTAGTCGTATTTGTAATGCCAACGAATAGTAAACCTAAATTATTTCTATATGTTTTGTACAAATATTGAAACCACGAATGTTCGCAAATTAAATAATAGAACTTAAGTTCAAAATTTTAACCTTGTCCTCTTCAGTCAAGAAACTTGCTCGAACGCTGCTGAAAACAGTCCGAGGGTTTTCGAACTTCACTCAAGATAAAAATAAAAATAGCTGGAACAATAATTGAAAATTATCAGTAATTAATTGTGGGGCATGATTACCCGTGAAGAAACAAAGCTTAAGCATTAAAGCTCTTACTTGTATTTCAGATTACAATCGTTTACTAGCGATCACTTTAAACCGTTTGTTCGTGCGGTTTCAACAGAGGCAGAGAAGGAGTTCATATAGTTGGTTATTTCTAACCCAGAGTAGTATTTAGAAAAATATTAATGGATTTTCTCATGAGCCTTGATAAACTTGACGGTTCTTCACACTTTAACATTAAGGTTTTGATACCATGCTGTTCTTCTCATTTGAACCTGACGATTCTGATGCTGCAAACCTGATTTCAGTTATATTGCAAACAATGTTGATGCCATGCAACGCAACTATACAACTAAAAAGTAAGTTTTTAACAGAGGAAGGTCGATCTTCTATGGCATAAACACTCTGGGAGCAAAACGTGCTAATAATCGGTTCAAATTCATACCAACTTGCGGGAATATCTTCATACCAACAGTGAACGCAACAATTCCACACTTCAACTCTAAAACCTATTAAATCATCACTTTTCCGCTAGGATAGCATACAGCAGTTTTAAAGAGAAGCGCAGCCGTTACTTAAATGAACGTATATGAATAGCACTCGCTCCGAGAGCAGCTATGATGGAGAACAGAAGCTCAACATTATTGTTTAAACCAGCAAATCAGGAGATAAGGTGCCATTCTTGCTGAATGTGTCCCGCAGTTCGCAGCAATGACCCGCACATTTGGCCGTCCTGATGATGATGTTAGTGCGCATACGAGTTTCCTTGTATTGTTATGATTGCTGCTTCGGTACTTCCATTAACACTTGCATGGTCCACTCAGTGAGTGGATAATTTTTATCTTATTGCTATGTCATTGGGGATCTTAAACTGAGTACACCGTATTTTTGCTGCATCAACTGAGTTATTCAGGGTATATGTATATGTCGGGTTGAAATTTTGTTCAATAATTTTGGTTTGCTTATGATGATTAGCATTTATGAACGCTGCTGTGGGCTAACATCGATACAAGAAGATGCAAGCATTATCATGAGTATTCATGGTCGTCTGAACACCATTATATTCCGGGGAGGAAGTAAATTCGACTGAAGTTACAATTTACCGGTCAAACTTTCCGACTCTAAAACCAATCTCCAGGGTCTAGACTTTATAGTTTTCAGCTCATGAGCTTTCCTGTTGTTACAACGATCAACTATTCAGAAGAATGCTAACATAATTCAAGAGTTAATTGCGTTCTTCTTTAAGATACACAAATATGCATAAATATACGAGTACATAATAAGCATAATTAAACAACGTAAGGCTTTGTTAAGATTTGAACTATTATTTAGAGATGAAAATCCATACTTCAACAGCCTACATCAATGCCACAAGACAAGTAGTTCCATAACGGCTCCGTGCCATTATTAATAATATATTAATCATGGTGCATGCCCAATATTAACGAACGTGGGCAATAAGGCAAGATTTCTCTGAAGCGACAATTGGCGAATTATCGTTTTTTTTATTCTAATTTTTTATTTGTTTCATATATGGTAGTTCATCTTAAAAAAAAGCTTCAATAATCTGAATCTGGCAAATCTTCAATCGCTTGGAGAGTGAACTATAAAAAGCAGTTAAAAGTATTTAAGTGAGGTTCAATGCATAACTGAGACCAAGGCACTCCCGAGCGAAAATTAAAGGATTTTATAAAGTTTGACATCAAGACTTTTAATTAATTTTGCATAGGCGAAATACTGATTTACGATTATGATCGTGTATTATAAGTAGGATTTGGAATTACAATTAACAATATTTGCAAATGAAAATTAATTCAGTTTTCCCTCATTTTCCTGAATGAAACTCTGAAATATGACTTATTGTGTCCTTCAAAAGCTACAGTCAGTGCTGAATTTCAGTCAAAGAAAAAACTGAACCCAATTAATGCAAACAAAAATCATGTTTTGAGCAAATTGTTCGTGAGTAAACACAGGGCAACTCACTACCCTGTCATATGTTTGAAGCTCAATCGTTTTTATACAAACACAGAAATAATGACAATGAACCTCAGAATGCACTTATTACTTATATAAGCCCACATCACATGAACCTTTTCATGAAATTACAAGTTAATTTTGCTCGGAAACTTCTAAGATTGCATCATTAAGCTGAAAATTTTTCCTACTTGCGCTGACAGTGCAATAATGGAATGCTTAAGCTGCTTGAATAGTTATTTGAGTAGTAATTTTTTTAGTAGTATTTTGTTTGAGTAGTAATTTAAGTAATGTTTGAGTAGTAATTACAGAGACTGATGAGGAGAAAAATGTTAATGGAGTTTAGATCCCACCTGTTAGAAGCAAAGTGGCGCAGAAGACGACGAGCAGCAGTCGGTGCAGACTGGTACAAGAAATCCTGTGATATGAGAATGTAGATCCTGATAAGCTGTTGTTTCTTTTATTTATTGTTGTTTTAGTAGCAAGGACACGCGTTGGTGGAACTCCATTACGTAGATCGGCTTTTGAAAATTTATAAGAAATGAAAGACGCTGCTGACATGTGCGATTGCTTCTCATTTGTTTGTTTTAGTCTCGAGGAAAAATTGAATGATGCCAGTGTGGGGCAAATTTTTCTGCTTTTTACAATGTTTGTTATTTTAGAAAAAACACGGGGAGACAGCAAAGAAAAAGTTTTGGTTTTTTCTCCAAGAATTCCACTTGATTTGCCCATCCTGGTTCGGAGTTAACGAACTTCCTGTTTGATAATTGCTAAGAAATCTCGTCGTTTGCTATGCTCAAGGTCGCCATCGTTCATAAAGTTGACTTTTTATCATTCACAATAAGTAAAGTCGTTCTAATATTCTTCTGTCAAGTAGAAAATTTACATACATCAACAAAAGAATATGCACCAATAAATATGTTTATGTTTTCAAGATGAAACTATTCAGCGAGACATGATATAATTTCTACATTCTCAATAAATATCTATCGGTGACATAATAACTTCATTGCAGCATCAAATTGCAGTTCTATCATTATAAGCTACCAATGAATGTATAAACTGAGACAGCACTAAACATATCATTAAACCTATTTAATGATCGAATAATCCCGCTATAACGACCCCATGGGACGTGACGAACAGACCGTCGTCGAATGTCTCTGGCAAAGCGAGTCTCAAAAATTATCTCGGTCCCGAGCAAACTAATGCACTGGGCGAGACGGAACGTTCTAAAACATTTAAATGGAATTTATTTGTTGAGTCGAATTACCACTACGTAACTCACTTAACTGGATTCCCGAGTCTTCCTTTTCAGACTGATGAATTCGACGTAAAACTTTATTAACAGTCGAAACAAATCTTAATTGAATCGGCAAAGCTGTTCCTAACTTAGACGCTACCTACAATGTGCTAGAAATAACTATTCTACGCACTAATGATCGTCTTCAATTATTCTATAAAAACTCTATTATCCTATAATCTTATCTTCAATTATCCTCCAAAATTCTATCATGTGATAATCTTGTTTTTAATTATCCTATTCTGTTTAAATAACAATGACGGAATCAGCAGAGATATTTCTCTTACAAAAACATAGGACATTTAAGTAGTCAAGATAAGTAATGTTGCGAATGTTTCATAAGGTCTGTTAGGAATTCATACAGTCAATTAAAGTTTTGAGAAGCTTTCAAACAAGTTTTCTGGGTTTAATTTCGAAGCCTGCGCATTGAAGAATATAAGTTTGGGGTTTAAGGAAATCTATACGACTCGCAGGATGTCATTTATGTCATTTAATGATGTGAATATAAGCCTGCAGTAAGCTGAAAGTGACATCCTTGAAACCTTCCAAACTTTTTTCGATTTGATTGAAGTAAATGATATTATATGGTTTTTGCAGCAGCGTTGAGATTGCCTGTACCGTAATTTATTCATTATTATTATCGCCATCAATGCCAAAGTAACCTTCAAAATATCATGTTAATTACGATTATAACTTTTCTCGTATAAGTCATGGCATTTCTTAGAATTCGAAATATCGAATTTATACTGGATCTATTTATTAATGTATGACATGGGTAAGCTGATTAAATATATGGGCGAAAAAACTTTTCAGTGATCTACCAAGCATGATTCAATATTCATAAAATTAAATAAAAAACATTTTACTCCTTTTAGCAAAATGCTGAGCATTTATCTCAATGAGATAAACTGTTCAATTGCCAATATCAAGCCTTTAACTACTGAAGAAAACTCTCCGTTTGAGATGTTTACAGACGAAAGGCAATGACAACGATTCATGAATCCTTACACAGATGAGGGGATTTACCGAAAAAAGTGCTAATATATAGTTTTTATTCAATGTTATCGTCCATTATATACTCGAAAATTTTTTAATTCATTTGACATTTAATTTTTTTAATTCGTTTAATTTATTTCCCTGCATTCAAAGTATCTCTTTACAGTGTAGCGTATCGTTTGCAGCAATAACGTTGATGGTGGGCAGAGTAGAAGCTGCATCGACTCATTGATATTATTAAAGACTTAAATTTGTTTAATTGTTCTCAATCTACTGCCTGAGGCTGACTCAAGAGAAATACAATTCGAAAGAAATTAATTTCAAATTAATTCGTTTCATCTTCACATGTGTAATTGAAATCATATCACAAATATTTATTCCTTTCATTCCCAAATTAATAAATATTTTAAAAGAAAATTTCGATCAAGACTTTAGAGTGAGTCTTGGCGGCAAATATTCTTAAATTTGTAATAAAATTTATTTCTAATAAGATTTTCAGCATTTTTACACGTGCCCGAGTGCTGCCAATAGGTTGCTGTCAGTAGGTCATACATTTTTCTTCTGTCGTTCAAGAAAATTTTTGTTTTGTTATATTTCTTCTGTTTAAGTCAATCTTTTGAATTGCCCCAAAACCTCCCTTGTATCACTGATGATAAATTATTATTCGAGTTCACAATAATATCGAAACATGTGCACGGCAAGTAACATGTTAAATAACATGTTAATAACATGAAACTAGTTATTTGGAAACATGTGCACGACATTTTTGACCAACTAACTAGTTTCACTAGATATTTGGTCAAGAATAGGCCCTCAATTGTAGTTACAATTGAAACAGATAATTTTTTTAAAAAATATATTAACAGTTTCACTTTAAATGTGAAGTTACGCTCGGCCGCATGATGCAATATGTAGGAAAACATTCCGTGTGATCACTCAATATTCTATCAAATGCATATATGACTTCTATCATAGTCCATTTTTCCATACTGATCGCAAGTCTTCAATGTTCTTGGGAAGAAAACTAAGATTTACCAGTTAACTTAAGACAAGTTGCTCATCTCAAGTCTGTCAAACTTATTAGATTGAAGTTGAAGTTTTCAGTGCACAACGACAAAGCCACGATGACAAATGCTCCTTCAATTTATCGACAATGAAATCCACAGTGAGGCATTTGACAACGTCTTCATGTATTTGACAGCAAGAAAAAAGTTAGTTTTTTTTAATAATTTAAGATATAATCCGATGTCTCAAGGCCAAAATAAATTATTTTCGTATCGCTCCTGCATCGTAATAAAACTCATATTAAAACTTATTTTCGAAATTCTATCCCATAATTGGTTTGCCAGAACTTCAGAATGAACTTTCCAATATATATTTTTGTATCGTCCAAATTATTGTCCAAGTCTTTTCCGATACTAATTTGTTCATGGAAAAAATGTAGACATTTTATGTTGATGATGATGTCATATACATATTAATACTTTACAATAAGAACGTATCTATCTTCTTCCTAGCCACCAACTGCAATTTGACCTTTAATATAATATCTTTCTTGTATTTCTTGGCGCGAACGTAACTTGAGTGTCTCAAATTAACTGCGCATGGATTTTCTTCAAGTCCATAAAATTACTTTATAAGTGTTATCACTTTTTTTTAATTTTTCCTGTCAGTAGCTCGCAATGGTCGGGAGATTACTTGAGTTAGTCTTTATTAACTCTCCTTGGAAAAAAGTGTCATTTCTGTCATGAGGCTCAAGTACTCAATGTCTTTCATGAGGTTTCCGTCAGAGATCAAATTGAGAAACCAATTCCCAAGTGAGCTACTTGAAGGAGGCATAGATTAATTTAATTTTGTGAAATGACATAATATTTAAAAAGAATGACATTGCATTTACGAATAGTGAATGTGACCTTGTGTGAACGTGAAACACTGTTGCTTGAACATGACCAACTGCAGGTATAAACAATCCAGATCGGAGCAATGAATCATTTGCTTAACGAGAATATTAAATGATACCATAATAAATATAGCATCGTAAACTCACTAATTTAATGAAAGAAACGCTAGAATGACAGTACAATGTCAATATTTCCCTTGAAGCCTATGCTTCCTTCAAAATTAGGACACATTAAAAAAAACATTAACAGTGAAATCTTCGATAACATCAACCTTTATGGGTGCAAAAACAAAGAATTCCAATAAATTCCAATTTCCCCGTATAATAGTAAATTCATAGAGTACAGATAGTATTTAAAATGGCGAATTTTTGCAGAACTAGTATTTATTATATTTTGGCAAAAAGCGAGCTGTTTTTTTTCGAAAAGATTCCATAACAATTTAATTGTTTATACTCACATTCGCTTTCAATTATCTTCATTAAATTAACTATATAAGCCACCATACATCAGTATCGGCTTTAAAAATTCTTCGTTAAAATTGTCTCAATGTTTCACGGAGCGAAGCCCGAGCAGCAATCTCTGATCATGTATTCAATTGCAATCGTCCGAAAATATGAATAACGAGGCCAGTAAATTTAGTCGATCCTTGCGACATTTTAAAACCGAGAAAAATCTGAGTCGGGAAGCCAGCGACGGATGGCGCTATAAGCCAGAGAATTGCCGATCGCGGCAACTGGGATGGCGTGACCATGACATCGGCTGCAAATTTTCGGTCTGATGAAAATGATCGCAAATGACGATAACAAAATGCGAGTGATCAAAATTTGTAAAAAAAATAATGAAAAGGAAAAAGGACATTAGAAAATAAAATACTTAAAAAAAACTTTTTAACAAACCACGTTTTTCTTGTGAACTAAAAAGTAGAAAATAAATTATGGCTCGCCCAAAAAAACGTGTGTCGGGCAGATTTATGATTAAAGCGAAAAGCACACAACACACGAATTTTGGAAATTTGATGGTGAACGTACAGCCCGACCCACGTTTTTTGGGGCGAGCCATAATTTATTTTCTACTTTTTAGTCCACAAGAAAAACGTGGTTTTTTAAAAAGTTTTTTTTAAGTATTTTATTTTCTCCTTTTTAGTCCGTTGCTACACATGAAAAACGTTGTTGCGAGCCAATTTACTTGCCTTGACGTACGTATCGATGATACGCAGCGTCAGCGCCTGCTCGTCTATAACGGCAGCGCCAGCACGTCATACTATATATATACTATTTATATATACTTTACTCAATTAAGCTAATTTAGGTCTCTAATTGCTAGTTTTTATGATTGTATCTGAAATTGTTAGGCGAAAATAGCCTGCATGCCGAATTTCAGATCTCTAAAGCAATCAGAAGTGGGCTAATTTTCGTTGTCAATGTTAACAACAAACAAACAAACAAACAAACAAACAAACAAACAAACAAACAAACGCGAAGCTAAGCTAAGAAAAACGTGTTAAAAAGTCACCCACAACCGCTACATACAACACTACCCTGGATCGCAAATGACGATAACAAATGGCGAGTGATCAAAATTTAAAAAAAAAACTGTAGAAGAAAAAAAAATGATATTAGAAAAGATAAAGCTTCTACGCTAAGTCGAATCGTGGCACAAATTTAAAGTTTTAAAATATGGAACGTTACTCATAAATTTAATTCCTATTAGGTATAAAGATCAGTCCTCTTCAATGTGATCGTTCAAACGAATTTTAACCGTTTACAAGTAGGCCCATGGCGTCCTTCTCATAAATATTAACATTAATTACCCTTTAATTAGGTTTCTATATTTATAGGTACAAATTATTTATAATTCTGCGTATCATTCATTGTCATCACAAATCTGCCTGGCTTAAGCCCTGCTCGTTAATTTTCAGATAAATATGCTGTCTCCGTGCGATGGATGGGCTGGCAGATATGAAGCTTCAGTCTCAATCATCTGAACACTCAAGTACATAATAGAAAAATAATGGCCTTTTCCTGAGGATTTTAATTCATTGCATAAGGTAATTGAGATTCCAGCTCGTGGATACAACGTGGACTCAACAGGGTTAGACAGATAATAAAATGTCTCTGGAATCATACAACTTTAAAATGGCGAAAGTAATTCTTTTAGATTGACAATTAGGAATAAGTTTATTATTAGTTTGCTTCATTTTTTATGAAAGAAACGATCAACAAATTATCCTCTATGAACTAATTATCATTGCTAAGACACTAATGCGGCTTTCAGAAATTCGTTTTCATCAATTTTAACAGAAGTACAGTAAATTCACTCTATAATATAACATTTTATGCAATAATCGTTTCTATTTAAACATCGCATTCTTCATATCAAACTATTATTTTTCCGGCAGCAAACACAAACTGCAGGTTCACCTGTAGTTCAATTCGGATTTCGAAAAAATTATTAACTTATATAATTTATGTTATCGCATAATCCATCATTTAATTCCGTTGATATCTATATTCAATAAATTGATGAGTGAGTTATAATTTTATATGCTATCTTTTAAGGAATACTGTGGTCAAGTCTTCAGTTCGGGCAGGTCGACAAACGGACAGCAGACACCCGACGACCGCTCACTACACCCGCTCGCTCAGCACTGATGCTGCGGCTGGAATATCAGCCAGTCATTCACTGTCAACAAGTCTTAGCAAACGATTGAGATTGTTAGATAAAATTTCTACTTTGTGATTGTAGGGGATTAAAAAATGTGAGAACCAATAAGAATTTTGCGTTCTCATGAAAAGAATAATCCGTTATTATAATCCAGGAAAATGCAATAACTTTTGTTGTTGTTATTGCATCGGGGAGAAAGGTTACCAGCAATATTCTTTAATCAGTGCACGGTACTTAGGCAAATCAGAATAATTTTTTTTATATTCAGATAATTATATCCATTAAATATTCAATTAATCCAAACCTTGGTAATAAATAAAACCTTGTTCAGATAGCGATGCACTTTTGCCTTTGTGTGGGTCTTTCTGACCCACTTTGACTCGACAATAGAATCAAGTCTACGTGTAGAAAGTGTGTCTGAGTTTGGTCAGTTTAACACATTCATTTGTGTGCATGTATGCGCCGCGCTGCAGATGTCAATACTGCGCTCGTTACCGCGACGCGGAGGCTTGGCTCTGCGCCACCACACTGCTCACCACGACGGCTCCTCTGCTCACTGCCTCGGCTCCTGTGCTCACTTCAATGCTCACTGCCTCGGCTCCTGTGCTCACTTCAATGTTCACTGCCTCGGCTCCTCTGCTCACTTCACTGCTCACTGCCTCGGCTCCTCTGTTCACTGCCTCGGCTCCTCTGCTCACTTCACTGCTCACTGCTTCAGCTCCTGTGCTCACTTCACTGCTCACTGCCTCGGCTCCTGTGCTCACTGCCTCAGCTCCTGTGCTCACTTCACTGCCCACTGCCTCGGCTCCTCTGCTCACTTCACTGCTCACTGCGGCCGCTCTTGTGCACGATGACTGGAAATGATCTGCTTAGTCGTCTTTAGTCTGCGACTGGCGGGCACTAAAATCCTGGCCGAGATCGTAATTCCTGTGATGATCGTAAAAGAAGGCTTCAGGTCTTACAAGAAGGAAATAATTTAAGCCTTGTAATTGTATGGTCTAAAGTGATTACGGATTCTGGTCTACGACATTACGTTGCATTTAAATCTTTAAATTTATAGATTATGAAATTTTCTCCAATTCTGGAACGCTGACCGTTCCAGTTGAAAAAATTTGAATGATGTAACAACTTTTTCTCCTAGTTTTTGGAAATCTATAAACCGGCAATATTTTCCAATGTTTTAAACAATCGATAACATATCTTGAACAATTTTTGGGAGCGGCAGATATAAAATATAAACTCATCGAATATTATTGTTACTTTGATTACAAACTCTGAATTTATGAAGAAATACCTTCCAGAAATTGAATATAAGCGCAAAGCTTAAAATTAAGTAGGAATCAGGCTTCTGCTTTCCCCCTTTTTAGCGCATATTCTCATTTATGGAAAAAATCGCTTTGTGCTCGTCATGCCCATCCGTCCGTCTGTCTGTCCGTGGCTTCACAGACAGACGGACGAGAAAATGCGCTCTCTGTCACTCACTGCAGTGAGTACTGAGGTACATTTTTTGTTACCTAGAAGTATAATCTGCTCTCGTAAACGCGTTCATAATCTGTTCGTTCAAGCTATGAATTATTATTAAATATTTATTTCTGTATTATTAAGCCATTCGCGAGCTGGCGTTGCAATCAATGCTTTGCGTGTTCGAGACCTTCAGCTATTTGTTAATATTCTGTGATTTTTAGAATCGACAGTAGGTAAATACCTCCTGATTTTAGGCACCGACACTACTAAATCATAGTATTATCATATTATAAGAATTTGTAGTTTTTTGGGAAGTTTGAAAACAATTTTTAGAAAAAAAACAGCAGCTTAGATAAAAAAATATACCCCAGTGCGGGACGAAGAGATCTATTACATCTGTATTTCAACGGAATAAAAATAGGTATAACTTCTTTACAAATTTATCGTCAACTAATATATCATTACATTTATTCCTAGTTGTTAAAAACATTTTTAAAAATAATAATGCATGAAATAAAAGGAAATTTTTTACTTTGTAAAGTAATTCAGTTCCGCTATCACGTTCATGGTTGAATTAATACCTGTATTAATTCAACCATAATTACGTTCATCCCATCATTATATTTCGTGTTGCATTTCGATGTTCCAAATTAGCCAGCTGTGTCAAGTGCTTTATATGTATTCTCTGACTGCTCTATCAGCCAGGCCAGAAGTTTTTCGTTTGTCTATAAGATGTGTTTCCTGAATAAACACGACCTTGTGGAAACTTAGCGCTTTATTCCTCGTAGTGTTTGCCAAAGGTAAAGACAGAAAAATATACTAGAAAAAGAGATGCTTCTTCAGTAGTTGAAATTTAGGTCATCATTTTCTTGTTTGAATTGGATGCTAACAAATTCCGCTCTTCAAATATTCATCAGAGCTTTTCTTAAATTCCTGAAAATTTTTGCGCTTCAACTAAAAATTGGACTCGAACTATAACGCGAGCAAAAAAATGTACTGGTTTGAGAACCATTTCCTCTTTGAATAGATATTCAATATCGACTGGCTTCAGTTAGAAATGGAAAAATAATACGTGTTGCAAAAATTATTCAGTTTCTCATTCAGGTCAAGATCCCAAAAACTGTTAGAGACGGGAATCGTCAAAGCCATAAACGAAGTCTAAATTGTCCCGCACGCATCGTCCAGCAGTGAGCAGAAGTTTCATAGGCGATAGCGTGGGTTCATTGCTGTAAACTAGGTTAAAGCTACAGAGGTCATTATGGCACTGTAAAAGAACATGACTTTGATGTGCGTTCGTTCATTTCAGTTTTCCAAGACTTTCGGCAGTTTTAGGAGCTAAACATCCGGTATCCAATTCTCCTGCCCCAGATTCCGTCTGCCATTACGAGTCCTAACTACCAACATCCATATCTGCTGGAAGCATATATCAATCCCCATATTTAGGATAGAGTCAAGTCTGTTATAAAAAGCAAAGTCCTAAAAATTGGATTCAGAGTGGAACGACTACGAACAAATAAATATAAATTAAAAAACGGTGTCCTATTGAAACTGTTCAAGCAGAAAGACATGCATTCTAATATCATCCGGAATTAAGATATGCTTTTATGTTCTTTAAGCGCAATAGAAACTGAGCTAAAGCTTTTATAAAATAATTTAACGTTTTTTTCTGGGCCGCGATATGGTCTGTAGGATCCAGGCGAGTTATGTTGCAGGTCGTTTATCACGCGACCGGTAAAGCCATTTCCAATAGATACCAAGACCATCGCTCAAGCGCGTGTACCAGAGCAGCGGGTTCAAAACACTGAGCTTTCAAATTATCGTTTATAATTTTAGAAAAAGATGTCCTGGCTGCGCTTAGGACGATTCAAGTTAATTGCATGATCAAGTATTTTTACGTACCTTGCGAAGAGTTAATTTGCTTATTCAATAATTGCGGAAAATTTGAAAATTAGCAAAACCGTAAGTTCATAAATCGCGTTAAATAATCATTTAATCACTCAATAAAAATATAATCAATCAATCAATAATCCCCAATAATTTTATATTATTCACCGGAACTCAGTCAAAGCGCTTGTTGACTAGAAACTGAAAGGCATTTCAGCACACGATTGACGATTCTATTCTACTTGTCAAATCAATGGGTGCAGGGCCATTGTTGGAAATTATTCAAATGCCTGTTAGAGATGGAGCTGTAAACTTTAAAATTCATGATAACCATGTAGAATATAGGTTACATACATTTTCTTTTTTCACCTAAACCTGTTTACATAGATCTATCTGCAATGAGCCTTGTACAGTTAGCTTTGAATAATTGTTTGCCTTCACTGCATTTATATGCTTCAGGCTTCATTTGCTTCAAGTTTGTTGAAAACATGAACTTAATTACAGCAAAACCTTTTCAACCAACCAAGAGCAATCAACGTAGAAAAACCTCAGAAGGGAACTTGTCAACATCTTCAGAAACTCCCACGTTGTTCCTCTTGCACTTTTTCCTCTGAATGCCTCTTTACAGTAGAAAGTTTAGGAGTGCACCCGAACTACTGACAACAAAAACCAAAATACAGGCTGTAGGGGTCCGCTGTACACGCTATTTAGTCATATAAGCAGACACTCATGAAGCATTTTAAAGGACAGAATGAAGAAACTGCGCAGAGTTTCGAGTGATAACTTTTTATAGACTTTGCGTAAAATGAATTCTGTAGACAGGCTTTAACTTCACTATACTTAAAGACAAGTATCACTAAATTTTACTTCCCGAACATGCAACTTCGAGAGCAGTAATGGGTATTACTTTACTTTAAGCCTTAAAAACTTTACTGAGTCTTTGCGCGTTTATTTGGATAAGCAAGGTTACTATTAAAATGTCGAGATGATTTTTTAAAATATTGTCGGATGCTTTGTATCCTAGTTAGCATCCTACCGCTCAAACAAACACTGACAATCTCATATCCTGATTGAAAACCTAAATAGTATTCACTTTTCTTAAATTAGTGTGTAAATCATAAAAAAGTAAGCCAAACTTATTGAACAAATGTTAGTGAGTAGAACTCTAAATTATTGAATTTTTTCGAAAACTTCTACACGTGCGATTTCTTCTGAAGCAGCAAGAGCCGCAACGAAGCCAATAGAGGTTCTTCACCAGGACCCGGGACTAACTCTCGGCGCAGGCCAACGCTTGAGGTGAAAAAAAGGAAACGCTGCTTCAGCAAAACAAAGTTTCACTGTGTTTTTACTTGGTAGAAAAAGTAACACTTTGTGTGAACCTGGACAAATTTTAACGGATAAATATTGAAGCTCTAGTGATTTTTCAAAGTTGAGACCATTTTTGGGGGCTGAAGGAAACGTCTTAGAATAATAATTTAAATGATGGATATTGGAACTATGATTCTCGTACTATAATCAAATTAATTAGAGATGAGAAACAGATGCAATGGTTACTTGGATGAACATGCGAATTATTCAATTAATAATGGGTGATGCTATTTTAATAATAAAAAGAGAATTTTTATAATATAATAATTTTTCATTTATGAATTTCAGTAATCCATGATGAGTGGTCAACCGGTTGCATGATAAATACGGCATTCAATTGCAGTTTGCACGAAGATCTAGTTATGACTGTCGTTTCAGCAGTTATTGATGGAAAATTATCTTATAAATTGCTGATGAAAAAACGAGTTTCTGCAGAGCTCTTCCTAACTGTAAACCGGCGTGCTGTGTAGCGGGTTTGTTATAAAATATTTAACATTGATGCATTTTTGGACAGGATAATTAAGGGAAAAATGAAATGAACGCTTCATCCCAATAGTGAAAATGTTTAAAATTTGTTAAATATCGAGTAGTCATGCAATACATTTTCCTATTATTGTCATGAAGCTTTCAAAATTCATCAAAACTTTAATTGATCTATTTTTACGAAAAGACCGAAGTCAGTATTTGAATTTAGCGCACAGGATGATACTTTAAACTTGCATATAAATGCGGTATACCAATGGTATTGGTTTTCGTTCTTTCCAACGGCTCTCATGACAGACTGTCGAAGATAAAAACAATATTTTGTGAGCTATTAATTATTATTTATGGAGTTTATTGAAATTCTACCTTTTGAAAACACGTTTTGCAAACGTTAAAATGGTACACGACGATGCAAAAATACTGACCTCGCCCACTAATCAAATTACGCGGGCTTCTCTACCATTTGGCTTCAAAGTTTATCATGTTTCATTTATGATCTATTTTATCGAGTGGGCATTCAGCGTTCAGTAAAATCGCATTCCAGTGAAAGGGGAATAAAGGAGTTTATTGAAGATATAACTGGGATGAAGAAAGAATATCATCTTAAAAATAGCGCAAATTAGTGCAGGCGAAAAGCTAACGAAAAAGAAGAAAAATACTTCATC